CTACCGCGCGGCGGGCGCGGCGCGCGCGGCGCAGCCGGCGGGCGCCAGCGGCGCGGCGCCGCGCGACGCGGTGTTCAACGAGGCCGAGCACGAGAGCGAGCTGCTGCGCGAGCTGGACGAGGTGGTCAGCGACGGTAACAACGACTTCGTGTCGCAGTGGGCGGTGCTCATGAAGAACTTCACGCCGCAGATGGTAGTCACGTTCAAGTTGGGCACGGGCGAGCAGCTGGAGTTCTACCAGCAGATTGACGCCGTCGGCACGCTGGTGCGCGGCGGCGCGTTCGACAACTCCGAAGGAGAGTTCTCGAACACCGCGCTGCGCGTCGTCGCGCCTTCCGGCAAGAGAGTGCACCACGGCTCCGGCGCGAACACGCTGTTCAGCTTCACCGCGCAGGAGAGCGGCGTGTACCGTTTCGACGTGCAGACGCTGAACCACTCGCGGCGCACGTTCGTCACGCTGATCATCGGCGCGGGCTACGACAAGCAGCTCTCGCAGCTGGACGTCGAGTCGATGGAAACCAAAATCAAGGCGCTGAAGCACAAGCTGTCGCGCATCGAGATGCAGTCGAGCCTCTACTGGTCGCGCAAAATGGCGCAGACGGCGGTCATCAAGCAGATCACGAGCCGCACCTTTTTGGTTTTCATTGTGGAGCTGACGCTGAGCATCGGGCTTGCAGCCCTGCAGCTCGTCACGATCAAGCGGCTGCTTTCGAAGAAGTCTGCGTTTTAGCGCGGCAGCGGCCGAAATTCATAAATATTAGATTCTTTTTGTGCAGCTGCGCGAGACTTCGAAGCTCGCCGGCGGCCGATGACGCGCAAAAAGTCTCGCAAGCCGCAGGCGCGCCCGCGAAAGCCGACGCTCAGCAAAGAATTCGAGTGCCAACTCTGCGGCGGCAAAAACTCCGTCAGTGTCTCGCTGTAAGTCCGCGCGCGCGCCACGCAGCAACTGGAAGACGATGGTCGGCGAGCTCGAGTGTAACAACTGCCACGCCTTTTACCACAAAAAGCTCGCGAAGAACGACGAGCCCGTCGACGTCTACGCCGAGTACATCGACAGCTTGCACAACGCGGAAGCGCGCGAGGGCGAGCCGTTCACGGCACGGCCGCCCGCGCGAGCCGCGCCGCCGCTGAAGGCGAATGTGTACCGCGTGCGTGTGGACCGCGCCGAGACCGGCGTCGCACTGCGGCTGCTCTCGCAGGTCATGAAGCGGACGCAGCCGGAACCGCAGCCGGAACCGCAGCCGGAACCGCAGCCGGAACCGCGGCGGCCCGCGGCGGCGCCGCCCGCGCCGCCGCCCGCGCCGAGCGCGCTGCAGAGCGACTTGTTCGGCGAAGAGTCCGAAGACGCCCTAGCGCTCTTCAGCGAGCTCAGCGAAGAGGACACAATGCAGTTCGCCGAGTAGCGCTCACAGGCTCTCGAGCGCGGCGGAAAAGTTTTTGTGCAACTCGGTGTACTCGTCGCTCTCCATGAGCGCCGCCTCGTGCAAGTCCGAAAACTCGCAGTACTCCGCGACCGTCAAGTTGTGCAGCTTGCGCAGCTGCCAGTCCACGAAAATCGTGGCGAACGCCTTGTCCGCGTCCTTGCGGCGCCGTGGCTCGGGCACCTTTTCGCGCAGCAGCCGCTGCGCCTCCTGCAAATACTCGAACTGGTCGCGGTACAGCGCGAGCGTCTGCTCGGCGGACAGGTCCAGCGGCTCGGCGCGCGCAATCGTCGCGGCCTCCTCCATGTCGCCGTCGACCAGCCACAACGCCTTTTCGTAGATTTCGTCGTCCGCGTTGAACTTCGTGATCGCCTCTTCGAGCTCCGCTTCCGACAGCCCGCGGTTCGCGAGCACGCTCTCCGGCAGCTTCTTCGCGATGCGCTCGTACAGCTCAGCTGGGTCGCTGATCACGCCGGTCATCAGCAGCTGCAGCAGCTGCACCTCGAGCTCTCGCGTCTTCGTGCGCGACTCGATCAGCTCGTCGAGCACCGCCAGCAGCGTCGCGCGGTCCAGCCCAGTCGCGGGCGGCTCGGGCGGCGTGGTCGTCGCGCCGCCGAAGCGCGCTCGCAGCTGCGCGGCGGCCTTGCGCAGCGCGGCGGGCAGCTCCGCGCGCAGCGACGCGTCCGGAGACTGGCGCACGTGCGCCTTCACGATGCCGTACAACAGGCAAACGGTCACGAGGCCGACGGAGGTCGCGAGTACGTACTGCCGTGTCTTGCTGCCCATAAATCGAATCTCGGAATTTACTCTTTCGAAATTGCGTAATTACGGCGATCAATGCCTGCGGCTCAGCGCTACCCAGAGCGCTCCGCGCCTGCCGTTTAGCGGCGCGCGCTTCGCGAGGTTTTTCGGCGCGGCGCATGCCGCGCGCAGCCGAAGCGTCCGCTGCGCCGCGGCGCAGCCTGACGATCCTGATGGTCAGCGACTTCGTGTTCCCCGGGCTCGGCGGGATCGAGTCGCACATTTACAACCTCTCGACGTGTTTGATTCGCGCGGGGCACAAGGTCGTCGCGCTCTCGCACATGCGCGGCTGCCGCTCGGGCGTGCGGCACATGTATAACGGGATGAAGATGTACTACTACGACTTTCCGGTAATGTACGAGAACTGCGTGTGGGCGGACTTGCTGGGGCTGTACGGGCCGCTGCGCGAGATCTGCGTGCGCGAGGGCGTGGACATCATCCACACGCACCAGACGTCCTCGGCGATGTCGCTGCAGGTGGGGCTGCACTCCGTCGGCTTGATGATTCCGCTGGTCTTCACGGACCACTCGCTGTTCGACTTCCAGAGCGTCGGCGCGATCCACTTGAATAAGCTCGTGCGGATCTGCTACGCGTCGATCGACGCGTTCATCAGCGTGAGCCACACAAACAAAGAGAACCTCGCGCTGCGCGGCACGATCGCGCCCGAGAAAATCTTTGTGATTCCGAACGCGCTGGACCCGCTGTTGTTCCGGCCGGCTGGCGCGCGCGCGCGCGGCGCCGTACGCGGCGTCACGCAGATCAACGTGGTCTCGATCAGCCGGCTGACTTACCGCAAGGGCACCGACTTGTTATGCGGCGTGATTCCGCTGCTGTGCCAGCGCTACGGCAAGCTGCTGCGCTTCTACATCGGCGGCGACGGGCCGAAGCGCGTGGTGCTCGAAGAGATGCGCGAGCGGCACGGGCTTCACGACCAGGTGTTTCTGCTGGGCAGTCTGAACCATTCGCAGGTGAAGGAGACGCTGCAGCTCGGGCACGTTTTTCTGAACACGAGTTTCACGGAGGCGTTCTGCATTGGCATTCTGGAGGCCGCGTGCAGCGGGCTGCTGGTGATCTCCACGAACGTGGGCGGCGTGCGCGAGGTGCTGCCGCGGCACATGATTCTGCTGGCGGACAGCACGGTCGAGTCGCTCTTCGAGCGCACGCGCGACGCGATCGCGCGCGTGCAGAACGGCGAGCTTGACCCGTGGGCGATCCACGACGAGGCCAAACAGTTCTACTCCTGGCAGGACGTCGCCGTGCGCACCTGCAAGGTCTACGACATGGCGGTGGACGCGAAGCGCACCTCGCTCGCGGAGTTTCTGCGCCGCCGCGCGCAGGACGGCCGCGCGGGCAGCATTCTGCTGATTTTCACCTACAGCGTGATCTTCCTGGTGCAGGCGCTGCTCAACTGGTGTCGGCCGGTGGAGGAAATTTCGCTGGCCGTGCCTTACGATCAGCGGGAGCTGGTCTACGCGGATTGCTCCGCACTGCCGTCGGGTTGAGCGCGCAGCCGCGAGATTCGCGAGACTCTCTATTTAATTTTCGATATTTGATCATCTCTGCGATCAGCGCACAGGGGCATTTTAAAAAATGCGAGCTGTCGCCGCGCTGTTCGCGGTGAGCGCGCTCTGCGCCGGCGGGCTGGCTCCGGCGAAGCTGCGGTTGCACGAGTTCGGCTTGCGCGTGTTCGACACGTGCCGCGCGGAAGTCGCGGAGTACGACTCGCGCTCCATCGAGCCGGACCGCCGCACCGCAAACGGCGTGCCCGTGGAACGCGCGGACTGCAGCGCGCTGCTGGACATCGACGAAGCCACGTTCGCGAGTCGCAAGGCCGTCATCAGGCTGCAACTTGCGCGCAGCGCCCGGCTGACAGGGCTCGTGATCTGGTCGAACGTGCGCGACCTCTGTCCAAAGGTCATGGTGGCCGAGGGACTCGCCGAGGTGAAGTGCGAGTCACTCCCGGAGACTTACAAGCGGCGCGTGCGGTTTGCGGAGCCGATCGAGACGGACGAAGTCGTGCTGAGCTTGAGCGCGTCGACGCGACTGCGGTTCGTTGGCGCGCTGCCCGACCTCAGCCGTGGCTTTGCGCTGGTTAGCGGCGTGCGCTCGCGCGGCGAGGAGGAGTACTGCGTGCGTTACCTGGAGACCGGCTCGCGCGGCGGTGTCGCGCTGTACCTGCTGGAGTGCGTGGGGTCGATCGCGCGCTCCGACGCACACGACGTGTTTGAGCTGAAGGAGGTCGATGCCACGCCCGCGCTCGCGGTGCAGGGCCGCGTCTTGAACTACTCGCACACCTTTCACTTGACGGAGCCGAAGTCCGGGCAGCAGTTGTTTGCGCCCACGGACACCAACGAGTTCCGTCTGACGAAGCGCGCGGAACACGGGAAGCGCGAGCTGACCAACGAGTGCCTCGCCGCGCCGAAGTCTGCGAGCAGCTACGAACTAAAAACCGTTGCGCTCGAAAACGTGCAAGGCTTCGACGGAGCCGAATCGAGCGATTTGCCGCCCGAGGTGCAGAACGAGCTCGTCGATCGCTACGTCTCCGTGTGCCGCAGCGGCTCATGCAGAAGCGTGTGGAGCGTCGACCTAGAAGGCTACGAGAACGTGATTGGCGTGAGTTTGCTCTGGGGAAACGCGCCGTTCGCTTTCAGCGTGCAGTTTCTCGACGCGCAAGGCAAAACCTCGGAAATGCGGAACGTCGTTTTCGGCAGCGAGCCGCGGACGCAATTTTGGGTGAACCGCGTTTACAAAACGATGAAAATCTACCTTGACCTCGCGTCGGCGCGCCAGCTGGTTGCGGACGACGCGAGTGGCAAGAAGCGCGATTTCCGTTTCTACGAACTGCGCGAAGTGCAAGTCGTCGTTGCGACCCGGCTGCTGCGGCTCGGAAGCTGCGCGGCGAACAACGCCGGCTCTGCCGCGCACACCTTCTTCCCGTACTCTGTGGCGCTCCCGCTGCCTGCGTTCTCGCTTGCGCGTTTCTACGAGAAGTGGGTCGCGCTGCACAGCGAGCTGAAGGCCGACAGCGACACGGTGCGCGCGATGATCGGCGTCGCGGAGCGGCAGCTGCAGCGGCATCGGCAGATGCAGCTGTTCTGGTCGAGCTCGCTTTGGCTCGGGGCGCTGCGCGCGCCGGAGAAAGACACCGCGGAGAGCGAGGAATTGTGCAGTCCCGAGGAGCCGGTCTACTTCGCGCCGACGCTGCACGGCGACCGCGCGGCGAAAGGTTTGTGCACGGAAGGCAAGCTGAGCAACGCGGCGCGCGTGAGCGAGGACGAGCTGCGGAGCGGCGACGAACGCTTGTGGCCCCAGCTGTGCGCCGTGCTCAAGCTTTCGCAGCCGCAGCGCTTTGAGGATCGCGTCAAACTGGCGGCGGCACAGTGCGAGTACGTGATCGGCCGGTATGTCGAGCCGCGGCCCGTGTTCTTGAGCAAGTGCGAGCGCTCCAAAGAGGCGCACTGCCGGCCCGTTTCGACGGTAGACAAACCGGAGGTGTCGCTCGACGCGAAAGCCGCGGAGTCAGGCTGGTTGTTTTACGACTGCGAGAGCTCTGCCTTGCGGCTCGCAGAGAAAGCGGAACCCGCCTACGTGATGTGCAGTTCACACAGGCCGCACGAGCTGCCCGTGCATACTTTGAGTTGCTCGGACACCTACGAGGGCCGCGAGCCGCAGTTAGCCAAGGAAACCTTCGTCTGCGCGAACCTGCCGTGTCCGAAAGGCGTGGTGAAGTTCATGCAGGTCCCTGGACGCTTCCTGTTCGCGCTAGACACGCCGGTTTGCCAGGCAGTCAGCTTTCTAACTAGAGAACGTGGGTTGCTGGGTGCGAAAAGCTTTGCGGTGGAGCAGTTCGGCGGCTATGTGGGCGCGGAGCTCAAAGTCAGCGGCGACGACGCGCTGAAAGGTTCAACGGTCTCCAGCGAAGAAGGCTTGTTGTACGCAATTTCCTTCCGCCTCGGTGCGGACTCAGCTGACGACGCGAGCAAGAATGACCGGCAGCTGGAAACTGAGTTGTTGCGAGAAAAAAATGAACGCATGACATTCTTCGATGCGCTCACAAAAAAGTTCAGCAGCGAGTCGTACTTCGCCGGACTCGCGACGAACGACGCGATTCGAGCTGCATTTCCAGAGTTCAGATTCGAAACGCGCGTTTTCGAAAACATTATGAAGGCGAGCTTCGACACGACTCGAGGCGCGCTTGCGAGTCGGCGCAAACTCAAGGACCTGGTTTCGCGCTTGCGCTCCCATGAGATCGAGCTGAGGCAGCTCGCCAACCTCGAGGACCAGCGTTCGCAGTCGAGCAGCTCGACGTACAACGCGCTGTTGAAGCAGTTCGAGTTTTACTTCCAGAACCTAATCAACTCACATTTAGCCGCAGACATCATTCGGCTCGAGGAAACCAGCATGCAGCCGCTGTTGATCATGATGCAATCTCCACAGGGCGCAACGAAGCCTAAGGAAACATACTTGCTTGAGCAAACGACGTTTCTGGAGTCTGTCGACACAAACAAAGTTGCAGTTGAGCTGGCGAATTCGCGGAGCGGCGGCGGCAGCGAGCAGAGCAGCGGGCAGAGCAGCGAGCAGAGTAGCGAGCAGAGCAGCGAGCAGAGCAGCAAAGAGCACAGCGAGCAGAGCAGCAACTTGTCGAAGATGCTGGCGACCGTTTGGTTCGACCTGCACTCGAACACGAGTGCGTTGGTGCTGCAATCCGAGGATCCGAAGCGTGCCATGTGGGCCGGAATGTTGCTCGAAACGCAAGTCTTCAACGGGTCGATTTCCGCCGAATTCCGCGTGGAAAAGTCTGATGAGAGAGAAGTGCTGGGGCTGGTTCTCAGACAGAAGAACAGCCGCTTCCTCCTGGCCGCGCTGCGCGACATGAAGTTCGTCGGTTTGTACGTGGTTAGCAGTGACGGCGAGATCATGGTGAGCAGCGAGCAGCAGCTGCCGGAACGAGAAGCAGAACTGCAAAGCTTCCATCTCGAAGCACATGTGGCTGCGAATGGGCTGTTCAGGACGACAGTGACCCTCGACGCCGACGAAACGGTTTCCGCGCAGTACTACGATGACGACTTTGTCGCTGTGTCGAATATGGGTGTCGCAGCGCTAGGCGCGCCACGGCGAGTAACCGTGTCGAAGCTCCTTGTGCGAAACCACGGAGCATGCGGCGAAGGCGCCGAGGCTCACGGGTTCGGTGAATTTAAGCGCCGTTACGCGTCGAACACGTGTAGCAAGACGGTATTCAGAGCGAACTCACTGAGCTTCACTGAGTTGAGCGGCGAGTGGACGCCGGAGTACCTGGGCAACGATCGCGCGCTCTCGGGCCTGCGGCAGCTGCGCCAGTCGAATCAGCCGGGGCAGCTGCACTCAGCGAGCTTGACCGGCGTTAGCTGCGTACTGGGAGACTTCTGGCTGACAGTCAGCGGTCGCTGCCTCAACGCCGACGCGATGTTCGCCGTGGAAGTGCCACGCGATGCGACGCACAGTTTGCTGCTCAAGTTTTACCAGGACCGCGTCGCGCTGTCCTACTCTAGCGGCGAAGAGCTGGAGCCGGAAATAAGCGTCGGAGAGTTTCAGCCGGCAGACGAGCTGCGCATTGAAGTTTTCACCGATCTGACTGAGCTGACGGCTGTGATCAATCGACTCGTGGTGCGGAAGTGGACCGTGCAACTGCCGCTCAGCGCTACGCCCGATTATCTGAAACTGCACACGTACGAGTGCGGCAACTATTTGTTCAAGAACATCGAGTTTACGCCGAAAGACATTTTTTGAAGCGGTCGTCGCTAAAACAATAATAGAGCGAATTTTTGCGCTTTTCGCAGTCGCTGCGCGCGCGAAATGCAAGACTCAGGCGAGAACATCGAGCCGCTCGCCGCGCTGACGGTGCTGCAGCTCCGCGCCGAGCTGCTGTACAAAGACGTGTGCGACGTCGTCAAAGAACTTGTGGACAACGCATTGGACGCCGCGACAACGTCGCTCAAAGTGATGCTGCCGACCGAAGACTTGAGCGAGCTGTGCGTCACCGACGACGGCGAGGGAGTGCCGATCGCAGAGCTTGCGGACCTGACGCGCGGGCAGTCGCGGAAAAGCTGTGCAAGCGAAGCGTTAGCGGGCTTTCGCGGCGAAGCGCTGCTCTGCCTCAGCACGGTCGGCGAGCTGCACAT